ACTAGCTTCAGACTTGTACTGCAAATGAACAAACAAGGTCAATTTCCCTTATAGAACTAGCTTGGATTTGATGGAACTAGCTTTTATTTCTTTGGCATATATATAAATAATTGTACTGAATTCTACTGCATCATCATATACTACTGAATTTTACTTGTCTGTGCATTTCCCTTCAATGTTTACAATGTAGTTAAAATAGTATACCATATCAACAAGTATTGAGATTTCCCTTCTATGAAAACTAAGTCAAATAACTGTAATATACTTACAATGTTGGGATTTAATGGACATTTTCTACTGTTGTGTCCTGCTTGTTTACACTCTGAGCACTGTAAAGTTACAAATTTTCTTGAAAGATGCACTCCATCTTTGGTTATCTTCTCATCAACTCCTCTCTGAGCAGTGTAAAGCAACCATTGTTCAAATTAAAGTCAAACCACCGTGACCTAACAATTATAGAATCATACCATAAACTATAATCCGGTAAACAAAAGACGAATTTGAGGATTGATCCATTGTTCTGCCGTTACGCAATCACTGGAATATTTTTTAATCATGTAATCAAAGAAGCTAAGTCACAATCAAAGTTGAGGCGTGTAAGATTGAACCAAGTATCTCTCCAAATGCAAGACAAAACAGCAGTTCTAGCAGCTTCTGCAATAGACAAGAATCTCATAATGTTGTCAAGCACATTTGCCGGAAGTTCACTGATTCTATCCTTCTCAACTTGAATAGGGTTACCCCTGTCCATCATAATTCAAATAACTTTTAACACATGCAAATTAAAGATCAAACAACAAACTAACATATGAATTCGAAACAAACAACATTTAATTAACATTCAAATTTTGTAAACTGATCAGATTGAGAGGGGATTTCTACTCACATGGTAGGAGCATGTGTTCTATGCCAGAGATTATTTCAGAGAGAAGGATTAAACAGTTTATAAATTAACTAGGTTAGGGTTTGAGGGTGGGAGACGTAATCTGTAAACCATTCCGTGCGTTATGCAATAATTTAGCTAAAAACCTAAAATTATAACAAATTTAAGAAGTTCGTAAACTTTTTGAATCTATTTACTTGGGCCAAACATGCCCTTTGGACTAAAATCTATATCTACAAATCTACAAATCTAATAAGAGCCAGTAATGTTAGGTTATTTACGGGAACTAAAAAATGTTGGTGAAGTTGGCTTTGGACGGTGATCTTCCCAATCTCGACGACGTTGAGTGTTGAAGGTGGTGGCCACGATTTCTGCCACCGCACTATGATAGTTTACAATCAGCTAATATTATTAACTAATTTACCCTTTAATAGTAATTAATACCTCTAACATATTTTCATGTTTTTCAATAAACTTTAAAATTAAAATAAATAAATAATTGTAACATATTAAATAAGAACTTGAAGTTTTTTTTTTGAATGCTACTGGCTCTGTTCATATACTTTCTCAACCTACTAAAACAAGCCTTTACTGAGGCTTGAACTCACAACCTTCCAAATAAAAGTCCAACCCAAGTACCATTAAACCACATAGCCTTGGTAAGAACTTGAAGTTTAGAAACAAAATAATTTTATAATTGAACCATTGTTTAATATAAAAATAAAATAAAATATATAATTACAAATAATTAAATATTATATATATTTTATAATAATTATAATTCAAATGGCAAAGAAGAATTTTTCATTCATAATGCAATGCCTCTTTTTCTTTCCTTATTCTCATTCTGCTTCTCTTAATTCTTTTCTTTTCCTTTCACTCAGCTCCCCATTCTCTTCTTTTTATATTAAAAGTTTTGAGATGTGGAAATTGTAGGAACTGTAAGCTTGTTCTTTATTCATAGCAAAGAGGCAGAATATATAGACTACAGAACCAGAAGAAAAATGAACTAGTTATAACAACCTATACAAAGACTAAGCAAACCAAAAGAATAGGCTAGAATAAACTGAACATAATACTAAGTCTCAATACGCCCCCGCAAGATTGGGGCACCATCAATGAGGCCAATCTGGAATCGAAACACAGTAAACAATCGACGGCCAAGCGGCTTAGTCAAAAGATCAGCAATCTGAGAAGAAGATCGAACAAGTTGCACACGTAATAAACCACAAGACACCTGCTCACGCACAAAGAAATAATCAAGCGCCAAATGCTTCATCCATGAATGAAAAACTGGGTTCCTACACACATAAGACGCACTCAAATTATCATTAACAAGCGCTGGAGAGTCACGCATCCGAACCCCAAGCTCAGTCAACAAATTCTGAATCCACATGACCTTCGCAGCAGAATTTGCCAGTGCCCTATACTCAGCTTCTGTGGAAGACCGAGACACTGAACGTTGCTTGGCAGACGTCCAAGATACAACATTAGAACCAAAGAACACAACATAAGCTGTAGTAGAGCGACCACCGTCCCGGATGCCGCCCCAGTCCGAGTCAGAGTAGGCCACGAGTGACAAAGGCTTATCCCTAGAAAAATGCAAGCCAAAATGCACCGTCCCCTTCAAATACCGTAGAACTCGCTTCACAGACTGCCAATGTAGCTCAGTAGAAGACGCTATATATTGAGTTAAACGATTGATCGCAAAAGAAATTTCTGGACGGGTAATAGCCAAATACTGCAGTCTCCCTATAGCTTGCGGATACAGTGTGGTGTCAAAGGCCGGGGAGTCATCGGAACACAAGACTGTGGTGGAACACATTGGTGTGGATACATCAACTCGTTGTTTGACCCAGAAAACCCACTTACAGCCAACAACTGAATGGGAAGCACGAGGAACTAGCTCCGACGTGGAATTTCTAACAAATGCATTAAACCCCTCCGATGTGGCAGCCTTCCACACAAGTTATTTTTCAAAGCTTGACTGACAGTGCGTGATTCAATAGAAGCAGCAATGGGATGTGCTATTGTCACATTTACAAACTTATCATTAAAGTATTTTGGATTTTGACGCCTTTGCCGCTTTGGTCTGGGCTGATTACAGGAGATGGAGAAGACACAAGGGAGGGTTGTGGAGGTTGGGTCTGTGATGATGGCAGACCAGGGTCGGATGACTGAGAGGATTGGGAAGATGCAGAGGTGGGATCTGTAGATTCTGAAGGTGGGTGGGATGACTCAGACGCAACTGGGGATTCATGCACAGGTGAAGGAATGTTATGCATTGGACTAAGTGTAGCAGTACTTGAAGTGTCTGGACGTGGCTCTACAGGAGGATTCGCAAGAGGTAGAGAGTGTGCCAAATTAGGATATGGGATTTGCATAGGAGAAACCGAGAGAGAAGTCTCCAGAGAACCTGTCTATTTTAGTGTTTAATTTGAAATGGGAAAGTATTATCAATAAACGTGACATGCAAGGAAACATAAACACGCCCAGTGGAAGGTTCTAAACACTTATATGCAGACTGACTCAAGGAGTAACCTAGAAACACACACGGTAATGATTTTGGATTTAACTTGCCTGGAAAATACGGTTTTAGCCACAGAAAACATAAACACCCAAACGGCTTAATTTTCCCATAATTAGGAAATTTATTAAACAGTTTTTGATAAGGCGAGCAATCTTGCAAAATAGGAGTGGGCATGCGATTAATTAAATAAACTGCAACCTGAAAGGAATATGACCAGTATTTAGGCGGCATAGATGCATAGTGTAATAAATCCATACCGACTTCAACAACATGCCTATGACGCCTTTCAGCAACCCCCATTATGTTCTGGAGTATGAGGTGGGGATGTAAAATGGGAAATACCCAACGCATTGAATACCGAAGTTAATTTGGTATACTCGCCACCATTATCAGGAAAAATAGAGATTATTTTGTGCCCAAAATAGTTTTCAACCATGCGTTTGAACTGATGAAAAATGACACAAACATCAGATTTGTATTTCAGATGAAAAATCCAGACATATTTTGTGTAATGATCAACAAAATTAATATAGTAACGAAACCCATCAATAGAAACAGTAGACGAACTCCATACAGCAGTATAGATGAGTTGTAAGGGACAATTACTAGACATTAAATTGAATGAGAATGGTAACTTGTGACTTTTATTAATATGACATGAAGTACACGAAAAAGAATCAAGCTTCTTTTGATTAAAGCTTATATTATTACACTTAAGAATGGAAGCTAAGATTTTATGAGAAGGATAACCAAACCGATGATGTAAGTTCGAAATGGAGACCACTGAAGTTTTATTGACATGTGGAGGACTCTGGAATGGAAGGCAATAAACATCATGCTCGATCGCCCCTCGCATGAGTTGTGTTCCCGTTAAACGATCCTTAATAAGAAAATAAGAATCAAAGAATTCCACCGAAACAAAATTAGTTTGGCAAAGCTTAGACACAGACACTAATTTTTTTATTTTTTTTTTTTTGTAATTTGGGAACACACAGGGCATTAGACAGAATAAGAAACCTATTTGTAGAAGGTAAAGGAACAGTCCCAATGTGAGATGTTTAGAGACTTACCATCTCCCAGCAAAATCTCATCAGGCCTAGAGTAGTCTGAAACATTCTGTAGAGATGAGGGTTGAGTGACAGTATATATGATGCGAAGCTCCTGAGTCCATAATCCATGATTGAGTTGGCATCGTGGTGGTAGATGTTGTGTTGAACATAGGAGATGAATGGCGGAGTCCATAATCCATGATTGAGTTGGCATCGTGGTGGTAGATGTTGTGTTGAACATAGGAGATGAATGGCCGGAGTGTTGGGGTTCAAGAACAGTAATGGAGTTTTCTTTCAGAAATTTAGCAAGTTTGCGACAGAACCGTGTTTCCTGCCCCGGGTAGTTACAATATTTGCAATAACGATTGGGACGATTGCCATTTTGCCGCCACTGATTCTGTCTACCGTTTGACATCGTCAAACCTCCTCGACCACGCTGGTTATAGCCCTGAAATGTTAGTTCAGCAACACCAGTGTTTGATGATGGTGGAGGGCCGTTAAACAGTCGTTGTGTCGCGTTGGCCGTTAGCATAACCACTTAGGTGGCAGCTTCATTGTCCTTCAGTAATCTTTCATAATCTGTAAATACATCCGGTAATTCTCCATATGAAATAACTTCAGTGCGCACGCGGAGAGCAGCTACAATGGAATTGAACTCGTCACCAAGTTGTGTGAATATGTGGTATTCTTCACTGATAGGGCTCTGGGCAAGAGCTAAATCATCAGCGATGGCTCGCATCTCTCGCATATAAGTCTTAATTGATCGGTTACCCTTTGGATATTTTGTTAGTCTGGCTTTTAGGGAGACTATGCGACAACGAGAGGATGCGGCGTAGCTGGTAGAGAGACGATTCCAAGCATCACGGGCAGATGATGCAGAGGAAATTACAGATTGCAGGGTGTCTGTCAAGCTCCCTAAAATAGCGCTAAGGATAAATGGGAGAGAATTCACTATTATCAATTTGAAGAGCATGTTGCATTGGAAATGTAACTTTTAAATGTTACATTATCTTGGTTATGTTAGAGTATCTACATCAGAGGAGAAATGGGAGAGAATTCACTATTTTTGAGGCCAAAACGCCATGGTGGCAGAGAGAAAACCAAGAGAGAGAAGGGGTGGGGAACATCTGCAAAGGTTGGGATATTACTCTGCCCAAGAAAAAGGAATTAATGATGAAAGAGAGAGAACCAATAGAGAAAAGGAATTACTTGACATGCTTATTTTTATATATATATTTTTAAAAAAAAAGCAGTTTTGATTTTTTTTCCTCCCCTCCCACATTATTCTCTTTCCTACTCACTCTTACATTCTCCTCCTAATATCCCCAACTGATAAGGATGCTCTTATATAACTTGATTCAAACACTCTTTAGATATAAAACATAATTTTTAAAATTAAAAGAGAAAATACCATTTTTAGTCCCTCGACTATAATACATATACATGTATCAATTTTAGTCCTTGACTATACTTTCAAATGAGGTGCATAACTATTCAATTTGTATCACATTAGGTCCTGCCGTTAAATTTCCCGGCTAAGTCACCGTTGACCGGCTAATTTATTTAAATTTTATTTTATAAATTATTTTAATAATTTTTAAATTTAAAAACTTAAAAATAAAAACAAAACAAAATAAAATAAAAACGACAGCCACCCCACCCTCCTCCTTCATCTCCGCCGGAAACAAAGGAGGAAGGGGGTAGCCGGCGTTCTCTTCCCCCCCCCCCCCCTTCTCCTTCATCTCAACTGGAGACTAAGAGAGGCAAAGACGAAGGAGGAAGGGGGGAAAGAGAACGGCGGCCACCCCACCGCCTTCTTCGTTCGTCTCCGGCAGAGACAAAGTAGGAAGTGGGTGGGGTTGCCGTCGTTTTTTTATTTTATTTTATTTTATTTCTTTATTTTTAATGTATTTAATTTAAAAATTATAAAATAATTTTTTAAATAAAAATTAAATAAATTAGTCGGTAACCGGTGACTTGGGCGAAAATTTAGCCGAAAAATTTAACGGCACGACTAAATATGAAACAAATTAAATAGCCATGCACCTAATTTGAAAATGTTAATAGTCAAGGACCAAATGTGATACAAATTGAATAGTCATGCACCAAATTTAAAAATTTTAATAGTCAATGACTAAAATTGATACATGTATTATAGTCGATGGACTAAAAATGATATTTTCTCAAATTAAATTTTTCCAAAGAACTCATCCAACAATATTTGTAAAACCAGATTGGACAAACTACGCATTTATTGTGAAACTAATTATATTAATCAACATTTATTTAACTTGTAGCAATTATCTTTTACTCATTTGCTTTAATTCCAAGCATTGGGCATTTGTTAATTCGCGCAATGCACGTGTTAACTAGTAAAATAATACTGGTTAAATTTAATGGGTTGTGTTTGCATTTATATTTATACTTTAAATTAATCTATGCGCAATGGCAAAAATAGGTACCCAATATTAATACTTTATATTAAATTTTTAAATTTATTTAGATATTATATATTTAAATTACTGTAAATAATAGCAATAATAATAATGTAAAACATTTTAATGATTTTGATTTTAAGAAATAACTAACCTATAACTCCAATATATAAAGTGTATATTATTACTAGTTCTTTTACGCGCTTTGCGCGAATGGCTAATGCCTAATGATTATTTTTAAATAAGTACTTCAAAGTATATTAATATAATATTATATAGGAGATGTTCATGCATAGGTAAATAAATGTTGAATTTGTTTATTTAAATAAGTAATTTAAAGTATATAAATGCAAGATAATATATGAGAGATTGATTATAAATGTCACTAAAATAAATGTTCGCAACTTTGTAATAACGCTAGTCTAAATATTTAGTCTAAAAGCGATAGTCTAAATAAATACTACTTTCGGTTTAAATTTCTCCAATTCTTCTTAATTCTCTTTTTGGTAGCATTGTCATTGTCTTCATCTTCAGTACATGTCCTTTCTTTTATTGATAGTGTGTCATATGCAAATGGGTTACTGGTGGTAGCATAGAGAGATTCATCATGCAATGAGGTTATGGTGTGGAAAGCTTTAGATTTGTCTTGCTATGTATATGATTGGAATCTTAGTTGTACTATGAACTCTTTATCTTACAAGCACATGTTGATATTTGATAGTGGTAGTTCTTTCCTTACATGTTTCATGTGTTGTGAAATGTCTGTCGTAGGTTATCATGAGAAAGTATTGAACAAAATATTAATATTTATTATATTTGTATAAAATACTTGGTAAATAAATATATATAACATATTGTATTATAACTTTGACATTTAATTACAAGATAATGTCTCTTCAAAACAAATTTTACAAGATAATAATGTAAAAATAAGACAATGAATAATGTGGTGAATATAATAAATTAATAAATTTGAAGGTAATGAATCTTTGAATTGTAGAAAATAAAGATAATATAAATAATATTACTTTTTAAATTATTTATAATGAATAATTTTTTTTTATATATAAATGCTTTATAGACATCTAATTCTAAATTAATTAAATGCATATGTATTTTTGTTTGTGTAGCTACTAATTTATTTAATTTAATAAGATTAATAAAGTGGCGTACATATGCCAAGGACCTTGTGTAATACAATGGCACCAAGTTTCTCCCACATAAGGGAGGTTGTGAGATTGAGCCTCAGTGGATGCGATATTGACTATTTGTGATTCAATAGGTTGAGAAGGTAGTTATGAACAGATACTGCATTGTAATAGCTCAGTAGTATTCAAAAAAAGTGGCATGAAAATTGCTGTCAATATAAGATTTTTTTAGAAGTTTTTATGCACTGATAAAAGTATGATATGTAAATCCGTTCAATTGGATCTAGTGGGATGTCAACATTGTCAATTATTTGGAAAATGGTCCTACTGCTTTAGAGTTTATGTATAATTGTATTTATGATCAACAACTGTGTAATTAGGTCGCGCAAGTCTGACAATGACGTAAAAAACAATTTTGTCTAATAAAAAAATAATAGTATAATATTTGTAAAGTAATGTATAATTGTACCATTATAAAAAATACATACAAAAAAAATATTAATACCATAATGACCTAATAAATCATTCAAATAATGCAAAAGCATAATTGAAATATTAAGTTTTGTTCTAAACAATCAAAAGAAGATTAATTAAACGGAAAAAAAAAAAAAAAAAACTTAACCTAATTTTTTTTAATGCAAGAAAACCAAATGATTTTCAAAGTTCATGATTTATATCTTTGATGCTCAACTTTGAATGCTATATATTTAGTCGGGCTAATTATTTTTTTAAAATATATTTTAACATATTCGTAGTATATGTTTAACAATTATGCCAACTTTAATTGGGATGAGGTTCGAACATAATACCTTTCTTATAGAAATTAATGAGTAAGTTAAGAATAACAAATAGTTAACGGAATATTTCGTTACTAAAGTTTATAGTAATGGAATTTAGAGTTATTTAAGGGAGAAAATAATATAATAGAAGGTAAATAAGAAAAATCGTTAACAAATTATAAAATCAAAATAATATGAACCAATCATTTTAAGAAACAATTACAACCAAACATTTTTTTGTTCCAGTTAAGGGCCTAACATTATTGGCTCTTATTAGATTTGTAGATTGTAGATTATTGTTATTATTATGATTATTATTATTATCATCATCATCATCATCATCATCATTATTATTATTGAAAAGGATAAGAAAATATATGGTGGATGCATGTGTATTCAAAATATTGTATAGTACAACTTTTATAGCATAATGTATAAAAAAACGTAACGAAAAAATGGACATAAATGAAGGGTATAACCTTCATTCACACTTATTATGTTTTTATATATATCTTGTATTATTATTATTACAAGCACAAGCAAATTACACGTGCGATGCACGAATAAATTTTTTTATTATATATTTAGATAATGAAATTAAAAATTTGAAATTATAAATATTTGTAATATTTGAGAGTGTGCATTTATTTGATTATAAGATTAGTACAAAAGTATCACTCGATTCATTAAATAATATAATATATCTCTCGTTTGTCTGTAATTATCTCAGAAAAATCTATATGTAATATGATTTATGAAATTATGTTATTACTAAAATAAACATGCAAAAAATGGGAAATAATTTAAAAAGGCATTAAGCTATGAAAAAATTTGGAATCAAACTCAATTTTAATATTGCTTTAAATTATCAGATTTAGAACTGTTTTGTTCCCATAACTGATTTAGGTAATTCTTTATTGTAAAATAAAAATATTTCAAAGGAAAAATTAAAAAATAGTCTAGAATTAAAAATACTTGGAATTGTTCTTCTCAAAAAAAAAAAAAAAAAATACTTGGAATCAAAACATGAGGAATTTCATTACTATTAATATGTTTTAAAGACAATTATATTAATATATGTACAATTAATTCATTAATGACCATAATAATTATTAGTGAATTTATACTCTTTTTTTTTTTTAAACCAACAGCGTTGGCATATATTAATGAATAAATGGAGAAACAGAATCAGGAGGGACAAGGTCCAAATACAACGGAGTATCCTGACTAAAAGCTACTGTAGCTAAGGTATGGGTATGTAAATTAATTGATCTAGACACATAATTTAACGAATAATGACTAAATAAAGCTAAAGACGTCCGGCCTGGTCAATGACGACTCCAACATAAGATAGAATAGTCGCTGGACTTGATCGTAAGGAACTGTGTAACTCTGAGCAATCCGTGAGGAGATCCACATCTAGTTCGTTTTGGCTTTTAAGCCATGATAAAGCCTCTATGCAAGCAAGTGCCTCCACCATAAGAGGTGAGAAACAGTTTGGAAACCTGTCGTTGGTTGCCGCCTTCAAGGTGCCATCCTGGTTCAATAGTACGACGCCGTAAGCCCGCGTCGAATTAACAACGTGGCCAAGAGCTTGGAGGAGGCGCTACTGCCATCGTCTGCAGCTGCCGGGGACTGCCGCGATGGGCGTGTGTGTATGCATGCAAGCTTGCGGCTGCCCTTCTCCAAAGGTGTTCCGGTCGTGACAAACTTCCCTTCCACACAGCTCCATTCCAGGCACTCCATAAGTGATATAGTACCGCAGCCACCGTGCAAAATTGTTCCTCTGTTAAAATAACCATTGCACCCATAAGCCATATATGAAAGGAACCAGCTACAATATTTGCAATGGGTAGCTCCGTAATGTTCCAAATTAATCTAGAATAATCACAAGAAACAAGTGAGTGCATAACATCCTCATGAACTAAACCACACATTGGGCATGTTGGTTCCACTTCCACTCTTCTTATAAGTAAATTGTTTGTGGTGGGAAGGGTATCACACAAAGCTCTCCACAAAAAAGTTTTCCACTTCGGGGGAACCCTCAATTTCCACAATGTAACCCATTTGTCAAAATCACCAGGGCTATAACTAAACTCACCCACAATCTACCTATAAGCATTTTTTACCGTATATAAACCTTTTGAATCATTAAGCCAATACCACGAGTCCTCATAATCCGGACTTTCTGGAATCATAGATATACGAGCCACATCCTCCGAGTTAAATAAATCTGCTTAAATATGGGGATCCCACGTTTTTGTGTGTTGATCAATCAGGCCTACCACCGGTGCTTCTGTAACTCCTCTGGCATAATGGTTTTTACCAAAGGACTAGGATCATCAGGCAGCCACGGGTGGCCCCAAATTAGCGTTTTAGCACCATTTCCAATCCTTCTTCTAACTCCAGCGCAGACCATATCGTGCGCAGCCATAATACTTCACCAACAATAACTTGGGCAATTTCCTATAGCTGCATCAATAAAAGAAGTTGTCGGGTAATACCGAGCCTTGTATACCCTCGCAACTAAAGAAGTTGGATTAGTAAGGAATCTCCATGCCTGTTTCCCCAGCATAGCCAAGTTGAAAGCACGTAGTTCTTTAAAACCCAAACCCCCATATCTCATAGGAGCACTAGAGCTATCAAAATGGGCTTAGCCCGCCGGGCTTTCCCGCCCTGCCCACCAAAAGGGCGGGGTGGGCTCGTGTTTTTGAAGCCTATTTTTAAAACGGGTTTTTTTGCCCGCCCTGCCTAGCCCGCAGGCTTAGCGGGGCGGGCTAGCCCGCCCCCTTTTTTTTAGTTATATATATATATATATATATATATATATATATATATATATATATATATATATATATGTATGTATGTATGTATGTATGTATGTATGTATGTATGTATGTATGTATGTATGTATGTATGTACTACATACATACATACATACATACATACATACATACATACATACATATATATATACATATATATATATATATATATATAATATGTATAATATAATAATATAAATAATAGTGTCGGTTATTCGGTGACCGCAGTTATTACATCTTCATAATCGATAAATAACCGAATAGCCGAATAATCGAATTTTTTTTGCCTTATAATCGATAACCGACCGATAATCGAAATTATCGGTCGATTCGGTTATCAGTTATTGATAATTATACTTATCCCTATTGGTGTCATTGTTGTCATGATGTGATGAACGAATTTATGTTATTTTCTTATGAATAAGTGTTTTAAGTAGATAGCAATTAAGTTATTAACATAATCACATTAGAGTTTAGATTTTAGGGACACATAAAAAAAAAAAAAAAAAAAAAAAGGCGGGCTTTGGCGGGGGCCCGCGGGCCTGGGGGGGGGGGGGGAGCGGGACGGGCAGCACCTACCTAGGCCCGTATTCTTGGCGGGCTTTAGCGGCGACTCTAAGGAGCACACAACTTATTCCAGGCATTCCAATGAATTCCTTTATCCACACCCTTTCCCCACCAATATTTATTCATTACTCTTTCAATAGATAAACAAACTATCTCAGGTAACAAAAAAACACTCATTGAAAAGGTAGGCATAGATTGAGCCACACTTTTCAAAAGCACTTCCTTACCCGCCTGAGAGAGCTGTTTTTTGTTCCAAGACCCAATCCTTTGCCTGATTTTATCTTCAACATATGAAAAAACAACTCTCTTATTTTTCCAATAAAAGATGGGAGGCCCAGGTATTTTCCAAAATTAGGAGATTGGACTACTCCCAAGCAATTCGCCACCTCATTCCTACGATCCCCGGTGGTATTCCTGCTGAAACTGATATTAGACTTATGATAGTTCACCTTTTGACAAGATAAATTCCCATACCTTATCAAACACTGTTTAATCACACTGGCTTCCTGAATATTTGCTTTGAAAAATAATAGACCGTCATCCACAAAGAACATATGCGAGATTGGGGGGCTCCCCTGGCCACTCTGCATCCATGTATCATGCATGTCATCTGAGCTCTCTGTAATAACATATACAAGCCTTCTGCACAAACAATAAATAGATAGGGGGATAAAGGGTGTCCTTTCCTGAGACCACGAGTAGGGAAGATTTGGCCACTATTCCTGCCATTTACCATAATATTATATGTCACAGTAGTTACACACAACATAATCAAATTAATCCATCTATCATCAAACCCCATTACTTCCAGCATTCTCCTCATAAAACTCCATTCCATTCTGTCATAGGCTTTCGCCATATCCAATTTAAGAGCTTCCCATCCCATTAAACCACACTGCTTTCTATTCAAATAATGCCCTATTTCCGATGCCACCAAAATATTATCCGTGATTAATCTTCCAGGAATAAAAGCACTTTGGGATTCCGAGATTAAGTCTCCCATAAGTGGCTTCATTCTGTTAGATATCATTTTAGCCATAATTCTGTATAAAACATTACTCAAAGCAATCGGTCTCTTGTCTGCTACAATCTCAGACACACTTTTTTTTGGGATAAGCACAATATTCATATCATTCAAGCCATCAGGAAGCACGTAGGAGTTAAGAGAATTAATTACAAAATCAGACACATCCGTTCCAACTACATTCCAAAAATGTTGATAGAAATTCGGATTCATACCATCCGGTCCTGGTGCCTTATCAGAAAACATAGAAAAAGTTGCTTCTTTGACCTCATCTTTATCAAAAGGTCGCAAGAGAGAAGTGTTTTGGCCGGGGTTACCCGTGAGGCGAAATTGTCAAATAAGGAATCATTGCATATAGAGTTACCAGTAGCAAAAATCCCTTTAAAATAATCCACAATAATAGAGCTCATATTCTCCCCTTCCACCCACACCCCATCATCAGTTTTCAATCTATCAATAATTTTTTTTTTCTTACGAGCAGAAGCATACATGTGATAGAACTTTGTGTTCGCATCAGCTCCATGCAGCCAGTGCTGCTTCGCTCGCTGCCTCCAGAAAATATCCTCCTGTGCCTCTAGCTGGGGCAATTGATTCTCCAAACCGTGGAATTCGGCAATTGCCTCCGGATCCCGTCTGTGTCTAATATCATCATATTTTCTCCGTAATTGCTTTATACGATCCCCAAATTTCTGGAAATACTCCCCACCCCACCGCATGAAACTGTTTCCACATTGTTGTTGACAATTCAACAACCCCTCAGCTCTCCCCTCATTCCAAGTTGTTTCAACCACATCCCTACATCCTTCATCCAGAAGCCAGGCCATCTCAAACTTAAACCCCCTCGGGCCCCTCCCACCTCGCGTGCATGGAGCATTGATACAAAGAAAGAGAGCTGAGTGGTCAGAAGTGCGAGTCCGTATATTTTCCACATCTGCATGGCCATTTACCTCTCCCCATGATGCCGTTGCTAGCACCTTATCCAGCCTCTCCTCAATCCAGTTATAAGTGCCCTTGCTCTTTTCCCAGGTAAAAGGATGACCCCTCATAGCCATTTGTACTAAACCACAACCATCCACAACCTCCCCAAAACCGCGTAGGAGACTATCCAGATGTGGATTCCTTCCCTTCTTCTCATACTGATAGAGTAAGTCATTAAAGTCCCTTATCACAACCCAAGGTAGCAAAGATCTACCACCTAGAGTCCTTAGCAGCTCCCATGATTCCCTCCCCTTTTCTCGCTGCGGGAAACCATAAAAGCACGTCATACGCCACATTTTACCACTAACACGAATCTCCACATCTATATGATTTTTGGAGAAGCTCAAAAGACTTGCGTTATTATTCTTCCTCCACAATAACGCTAAACCACCACTTAGACCTGGATTATCAACATAGAACAATCCTTCGAAACTAAGTTTGATACGGAGACGTTCAACATGCATCCGTTCAACCATAGTTTCCATTAAAAACACAAAATAAGGCTTCTTTCGGACCACCATGTCCACCACTTGTACGTGGTTTGCCCAAGCCACTACAGTTGCAACTCAAAGTACTCATGATGATGGGCGAGTCTGGGAACCAGAACCCGCCATAAACAAGTTTTTTGAACTCTCTATCATCATAACATCCTACTCACCACAACCTGATTGGGTCCCCGCCAGCTAGTATCCGAACACGCCGCAACATCGGCGGACAGAGCCCCCGGCAGTCCAGAAGCCACATTCAGCGCCTGTTGTACCGGTTTTCTGTCCTTATCCCAGAGCCACGGTGCACCTACCATTCTCGGTCCCCTCCTTTGCTCGGCTCGCATATCATCGGTATAGGGGTATTGATCGATCTTTAAAGCCGATTCCCGGGCCTTTAAACAGTACCTATACAAATGTCCCAGCATACCACAGAAAAAGCAAAAATTATGTAACCTCTCGTACCTAAAATTCACCCAGCAAGTCGTCTTGTCTCGTTTCAAAAACTTCATACGGCGCTTTAGTGGTTTCGCAACAGGAATTGAAACCCTAATGCCATAGAAAGTCTTCCATGGTGCATCAGCAAACATATCGTCAATCTTGACGAAAATCCCCAAAAAATTCCCAACTTGCTCTAAGATCACATTAGAGGTATACCCAAGGGGGAACTCGTGAACCTGCACCCACATATCGACAGTACCAAGAGGCACCGTAACAGGAATCACACCATCCCGGATCTGCCTGGAAACCAAAGTATGATTCTCAAAAGACCACGGTCCACCCTCTAAGACATGTTGTATATCTGTCTCATGATAGAAAATGAACAAGAACAAGCCTTGTTGAATCTTAGACACATGCACACCCTTTACCGATTGCCACACCGAAGCCATAACCTGACTCATAAACTCAAGCTTTATGACCTTCGTTGTCAGGAATCGACCGACTAGCATCCATGTGTCCTCCACTGCCGCAGCTTCTCAGGCGTCATCATCCCCGGCCGGCGCAAAAACCTCGCCCTCCTCCTCAAGAGCGATATCCGCCCATCGCCTTGTCAACCAGTCGATCGTACCACCTCGCGCCGGAGCTTCCATAGCCAGAGAAAAGAGAAAAACATAGCACTACACCGTAGGGATAGACCAAACAGCGACGCGATAACCTCGGCTTTCCAAGGAAGAAGTAGAGAAAAAAACCCTAGCAGAAAACTTAGGAGATATAATCCTTATGTCTTTTTTAGTGAATTATACTTATATATGTGCAATTATACAATTACACCTTAAGTTTAAAAATATATATAGAGATTATCATACAATTAAACTAATAATTACATGAAAGAATGGATGAGAATTGACAGAATAATTATCATAATAATTATTAGACAATTATATTAATATATGCATAATAAATTTCTTAATTATCATAATAATTATAGGCAATTAGACTAATAATTACACGAAAGAAGGGATGAGAATGACACAATAAGCTTAATTACCATAATAATTATTAGGCAATTATATTACTACACGTGTAATAATTAACTTAATTATCATAGTAATTATTTGAAAATTATATTGATATTTGTGCAATTAATTCCTTAATTATCATAAAAATTATTAGACAATTATACCTAATATCTGTGCAATTAAACTTTTATACCTTAAATATAATATATATATATATATATATATATATATATATATATATATATATAGAGAGAGAGAGAGAGAGAGAGATTACAGTCAATGACCTTGTAATCTAGTGACATGAAGTGACTCTATGTGTTTGAATAGGTTGAGAAAGTAGATGACAGATACTACATTGTAACAGAGTCTACTAAAAAATATATCTATAGAGATTACCATACAATTATCATAATAATTACATAATAAAATAACATAATAACACACCGAAGAATGTGAATGATTTATTTTGCATATCCAATAATATTATATCTTAAGTATATTCGTTTTACCATATCCGCCTTGATCGAATTTATAAATTTATAAAAATGTCATTTTATGTTTTTTTTACACTTATCTTCTTATTCAAGAATTAATTTTATCAAACACTTTAATTTCAATCATTTAGCTTATTAGCTTAAGTAGGGTAAGGCTTTGAGAGTATGATATGTAGTCACTTATGCCCTAAGTCGATTGTGCAAAATTTCTTTCAAAAGGTTGAACCCCAACCCTGAGGGCCCCCCACACCCCGGCCTGATCGGTGCTCACTGCGCACAAGGAGCCCCCTTCACTTTGAGAGGTTACTTCACACTGCCGCTGGTGAGACTCGATCCCTGGTCATTCTTCCAAAATTTCACCTCTATAACCAATAATAACCCTGGTTACTTAGCTTGGACATGTAAACAAGATTTGAGACTGCCTCCTTTCGATCATATTATTCATTTATAAAACTTCAATTAACTCTCGCTGTCTCGCACCCATGTAAACTTCAATTAATTAAAGGACCTTTTTAAGTCCCATAGTTACCATTATATTAAACTTAACTCCATTGAGAGAACTAACTCTTTTTGTTAGATCACAAAGTATCATGAGTAGATCCTAACTATCATATGAGAAACTCATTTAAGTCTATATCATATTCAAATTAATCATAATTCACTTCGAGTCGGGCCAATTAATGGACAAAGTGTTAATCATACTCTTAAGGGATGAAATGCACAGTCATTCACACCAGGCCAGGGTTGTAAAAATCGATCTAGGCGCCCGCCTAGGCCCCACCTAGGCGCCTCTAGACCGTGGTGATTTCCCCCCTAGGCGTCTGCCTAGCGCCTAACTAGACCGTGGTGATTTCCCCCCTAGGCGTCCGCCTAGCGCCTAACTCGACCGATTTGGCCGCCTAGCGTCTAAGTTAGTTGAGTTAACTCGTCCATTTCAGTTGAGTTAACCCATATATAATATGACATATATACACTCGTAGACTAGTTTGATACTTTGAATCTTTGGATGATTGAAGTATTTGAGTATTTCATATTTGAGTATTTTTAATTTTTAATATTGTTTTAATGTTTTTTTTTTTTGAAAACCTTTGTTTTGATGTTATGACTTATGAATTATCATTAATTCGTTTATTTGGATGTGTTATTTGATTAAATATTGAAAACGACTTCATTAAAATTGTCAAACTGCAAGTCAACCATTATTTTTTTGGCGCCGCCTAGGCGCTATCCGGGCGCCCAACTAGCACCTAGAGCTTACTGCAACCATGATTCACACCAACCAACAAGTTCTTCCATTTAGAACTAACTTAATAACATTGGAAAATATAAATGGGTGCAGCTATATACCATCTCAAGCAAATACGAAGAGAATAACAAAGGAAAGAAAGGAAACATTATTGTTCTATTCAATTCTAGCATGCCATATTCTATTTTCCTAATTATTTAATTTCCTCCATTTAATCTTTGCACAGAGCGATACCAAAAAGCTTAGGACAAAATTGCAAAATATGAGGAATAGGCTCAATTGTAAATAATTTCTGCTTTTTTAGTAACAAACTCTTCAGGCCACTAAATTCCTGTCTCTAAAAAGATGACCTTCTCAAGTGCTGGAAAACAATCAAGTAGCAAGTTGATGAGATGCATTTCGGATGTTGATCCAGTAAACGAGCTAAGCTTCAAAGTGTGTAGCATTTTGTGCGATCGGGCCACCCTATAAAGTTCCCCAAAGCATAAGGATGACAATGCTCCAGCACACTTATAAGAGGGAGGATTAGAACCCAGTTAGTTATGGAAACAACGTAACTATAATATATAGTTTATTCATGAAGATGAAGATTACCTCTAAACTTATATCAAGTTTGCATAATTTTGGACATATTTGTAGCAAATAAATGAAATCAGAAGATATATTATAGGCTGAATATATGCCACTTGATTCAGATAACTTCAGGCATTCCACTTTTAGTGCAGTTGACTCTTCTCTCATATTATAAACTTCAACAAATCCCTTGGAAATCAAACCGAAACAAATTAAAGTTAGATTAGTTCCTAAGAAATTTTTTTCTTTTAAATAAAATTTAAATTATAAAGTCCAGTCGATATACCTTAATTGAAACACAATCGATATCGAGAGTACAAATAGATCTGATGTCTAAGGTATTTGGAAGCATCAAAGACCAGGTATCCTGTCTTTTGATTGTTAAATAACGAAGTTTTGGAGCAGTAATATTGAATTCAGAAAACGATTTACATTGGATGAATGATAAATTCTCCAGCATGGGAACATTAGCAACATGAGGTATAAGATCACAAAAGTTGACTCGTTCACAACACAGTGAAGTGACATTTGGTAGTATGGAATGGGCATGTATTGGTTTAAACGAGACTCCATAGAGATACAAACTTTTGAGTGTTCGACAAGAAAATATGCAATTTGGTAGTCTAAAATCATAAAGATTTGGGTTAAACCTAAGGTGGATTTCTTCAACACCCTTTCCCATGACACGAAGCATCCACTGTTCAAAGTCAAACAACCGTGACCTAATAGTACTTGAATACCGTAAGCTATGATGAGCCGGTAAACAAACGACAAATTTGAGGATTGATCCATTGTTCTGCAAAAGAACTTTGTAGATTATATGGAAACTTGCCGTTGCACAATCATTGGAATATTTTTTAATCATGTAATCAAAGAAGTGACAATCAAAGTTGAGGCGTGTAAGATTGAACCAAGTATCTCTCCAAATGCGAGACAAAACAGCAATTCTAGCTGCTTCCGCAATAGGCAAGAATCCCATAATGTTGTCGAGCATATCTACCGGAAGTTCACTGATTCTATCCTTCTCAACTTGAATAGGGTTACCCCTGTCCATCATAATTCAAATAACTTTTAACACATGCAAATTAAAGATCAAACAACAAACTAACATATGAATTCGAATCAAACAACATTTAATTAGCTTTCAAATTTTGTAAACTGATCAGATTGAGAGGGGATTTCTACTCACATGGTAGGAGGATGTGTTCTATGCCAGAGATTATTATATTTCAGAGAGAAGGATTAAACAGTTTATAAATTAAGTAGGTTAGGGTTTGAGGGTCGGAGACGTAATCATGTAAACCATTCCGTGCTTAATGCGATAATTTAGCTAAAATTATAACAAATTTAAGAAGTTTTTATAATTTTTTAATCTATTTACTTGGGTCAAACATGCCCGTTGGATTAAAATAAAATAATAATGGTTAAATTTAATGAGTTGTGTTCGTATTTAAATTTAACTTTATATATATACTAGTTTTTTACGCGCACGGCGCGATTGGGATAATGCCCAATGTTTTTTTTTTTTTTTAAATAAGTACTTTAAAGTATATTAAGGCAAGATTATATTGAAATTGTTCATGCATAGATAATTGAAGGTTGAATTTGCGTATTTAAATAGGTAATTCTTCTCCCAAAGGTTGAGTCCCCAACCCCAAGGGCCCCCCACACTTTGACCCGATAGAGCATTGTGGGAAGTTGTAAATCACGGTGACTCAATGGTTCAGCAGACAGAACCAAATGCCGGTGCGAACAAGGAATCTGCCCACTTTGGACATAATTCCCGCAATGCCGCCGCCGAGGTTCAAACCTTGGTCTCTTCTCCCAAATACTGCCCACTAAACCATTGAGCTAAGCCCGTGTGGGTTAAATAGGTAATTCTAAGTTTACAAATGCAAGATAATATAGTCAAGATTGATTATAATTGTCAATAAAATAATTGTATAGGTATGATTGAAACCAAATACGGGACATAAGGGAGAACAAATAAAAATTAGGGCATAAAATATTAAATATATACTAATATTGTTTGAGGAGATTTCGACATTAGGATTTGTGGTTAAGTTCTATTAATACTTTAATATTAGAATTAGATTAATAGTGTAATTATAATTCTGTATTAGACGTTAATATTAGAATTAGACGAATGGTGAATTAACGGTATTTAACGGAAAAGTTAAATGGATAATCATATAATTAAGGATAAATTAGAAAAACTTTAAAAAAAAAAATTAAAACCTGAACAATTTGAATCATTCATTTGATTTAATAATTTGGCGGTCATTTTTTCTACCCAATGTTAATAATTAAATAAATTCGTTGGTCAAATCCGCTAATATAATCCGCTAACTGCTGATTGTCAAACAAGGACATTGCAAGGTAGTTCTCACTTCAATTTGTCGTGTGATTTGAATACTCTCTTTGTCACAAAATCTCTCAAGTAGTTAATATGGTTGGCTTTATTAATTATATATTTTTTTTTAATTTTTTCATGGTATTAATAAAATACTTGGTAAATAAATATATAGCATTATTTTGTATTATAACTTTGATATTTAATTAGAAAAATAGTGCACAAAAAAGATAATAGACAATGTAGTGAATATGATCAATTGATGAATTTGAATGTAAAAATTTTTACATTTGAGAAAAATAAAGACAATATAACTAATGAAAATATTTCTCTTAATTAATTTATTGATAATGAATAATTTTTTTTACTGAATTAAGACATTGTAAGGACAATGTAGCGAATATAATCAATTAATAAATTTGAATATAAAGAATTTTTATATTGTAGAAAAATAAAGACAATATAACTAATACAATTATTTCTCTTATTTAATTTATTGATAATGAATAATTTTTTTTGAATAAAGGCATTGTGGACACATAATTCTAAATTAAAGAAATGCATATCTATAATTTTTTTGTTGTAGCTACTAAATTATTATTTATATAATTTAATAAGAGTAAGATAGAGTACTAATTATGCCAACTTTGATTGCGATGAGGTTCGAACCTAAGACCTTTTTTTTTTTATTGAAATCAATGAGTAAGTTAACGGTGAACTAACGGCAATTCTTAAAATTTTAACGGAATTAGTAACGGTGTGTGGGTATTTTAGGAAATTTTAGTGTAAAATTTAAATCTTATCAATCTTTTAATCAATCTGAGTCATTCATTTGATTAAAATCTGTGACCGCCATTTTTTCTACCCATTATAGGCCTAACTCTCTTGGGCTCTTATTAGTATATATATATATATACTAGTTTTTTACGGGATAATACCAAATGTTTTTTTTAAATAAGTACTTTAAAGTATATAATATCAAGGCAAGATTATATTGGAATTGTTTATGCATAGATAATTGAATTTTGAATTTGCGTATTTAAATATGTAATTCTAAGTTTTTTTTTTTATATATCAAGGAAGGGGGAGACCCAAAGAATTTAACAAAGTAATTCTAAGTTTACAAATGCAAGATAATATAGTCAAGATTGATTATACTTGTCAATAAAATAATTGTATAGGTATGGTTGAAATCAAATACGGGACATAAGGGAGAGCAAATAAAAATAGGGGATAAAATATTAAATATATACTAATATTGAAGAGCTAATTAACTGTTGATTGTCAAACAACGCATTGTGAGGTAGTTTCTCACTTCAATTTGTTGTGTGATTTGAATACTCTTTTTGTCAATAAATCCCCCAAGTAGTTAATATGATTGGCTTAATTATTATTTTTCTTTTTTTTTTAAAAAAAACTATTATTATTATTATTATTATTATTATTATTATTATTATTATTATTATTATTATTATTATTATTATTATTATTATTATTATGTATACCTTTAGGTCATTTTACATATTAATCTAAACAGCAAATTTTTTCAAATATCTTTTTACCAACCATTGATATAATTCGCTGGTCAATATAACTAATGAAATTATTTCTCTTATTTAATTTATTGATAATGAATAATTTTTTTTGAATAAAGACATTGTAGATACATCATTCTAAATGAAAGAAATACATATGTGTTAGGAACACTTGTATTAGGATTTTGATGATACCAATGTAACCTCGAAAGTAGACCTCTAACCGTTATCTTTTTTCATCGCCACTTTCGTCTTAGACAAAAGTTGTCATAACTCACATGTAATTCGTGTTAAGATAGTCAAACACACGAAGACGAGTTATGTTTAGTTGTTAGGGTTATCAAGACGAAAGAAGACACGAAGCATGAAGCAACAACAACGAAATTGACCAGGAGTTGTCATTGAACACGAAAGGACAGTCTTATTGATGACAATCCTTCAAGACATTCCTTCTCATCAATAGCAAGAGGGTCTGACTTGACAACATCCTAGGATCAAAAGGACCTCAACTTGTGGGACACGCATACCAAGGAGCATTAAATGAAGATGTACTATTTCCTGAAGCTAAAGGACAAAACCCTAAGGCTCTCCATGCCATCAACGGCTACAAGGTACAATCTTATTAATGGAGCATTTAATGCGGGAAGCTCCCCAGTCCTTACCCACTGGACAATAGGTTTGAAAATTTCATCTCCCTCCAACGGGTGAAATTTTCCTCACCTATATAAACCCACCTTCATCAACTAAGAAGGTGTTGGTTCTTATCACTCGATCTATCCATACGCAAAAGCTCTTAAACGCTCTCAGCTCTCTCAAGCTTTTGTGAACCAGTGTTAAGGTGTAAAGATACTTGAAGAAGCGCATTGATCATCATCTTACACCTTAAAGAAGTCTTGCTATTTGTACGAAGCAATCATTCCTCTCGGTCAAGACTTCATCACGTTGGAGAAATCAGAAATCATTTTCTACCAACCTCAACTTTGAAGAAGAAGTTGATAGAGGCGGAGTAAACTCGAGGAGTTGAAAAACCTACAAAGGCTGTCTGACTTAGTGATCAAGGAAGTCTTTGTGTAATTGTACTAACGAGTGATAGTGCAATCCTTCCATAAGTTGTGGAAAAAGAGTGGAGTAGGCAAAGTTGGCCGAACCACTATAAAACTCTCGTCTCCCTATCTCTTTACTTACGTCTCCCTATCTCTTTACTTACGCTTTTCACTTCTGCATCATTTTATCTTTCTCATCATTACCGAAAAATCTCATTATAACAAAACTCGTGCAAAGCTAATAAACGAATTTAACATCTCTGCTGCGCCAAAACACCGAAAGGTCGTTTTTAAGGCAAAACACGAAAAGAGTCTATTCACCCCCCCCCCCCCTCTAGACTCTCGCTACAACTCTTTCGGGACCAACAATATGTATTATTTTTTGTTGTAGCTACTAAATTATTATTTAATAATTTATTAAGAGTAAAATAGAGTACTAATTATGCCAACTTTGATTGGGATGGGGTTCGAACCTCAGACCTTTCTTATTGCAATCAATGAGTAAATTAACAAAAACTGGATGATTTAAGGTACTAGGATCAAATGCCAAAGATAAAGATAAATAAACTCAAGGAAGTTAAACAATAAAATTAAACCAGAAAGCATATTAACAAACAGATTAAACTAAACAACAATCAATATGGATTAAACTAAATGGAATCGCATGCAAAAACAAGACAGAAAATAAATTAACCAAACGAAATAGTAAGAGAATAAATACTAAGAAAACATAATCAATTAGCAAAAATTAAACCTAAACCACTGCAGAACTTTCATAATAACTTCAATCATATTCCTATGAAAACTAAACTAGCAGCATATTTTAACGATATAATAATCAAACTATTTTCTAAGTGATTAACATGTAGACAAAAATCAATGTTAAAAAGTTAGGCAAACTATTAACAGTAATGACAAAACAATGAGAAATTGACAACAAATAAAGAAAAAAGAAGTCTAGAACCAACACGCTGCCAACTATGGAATTTCGTAGCCCAATATGTGTGCTGCCATTGATGAACAATTGTCACGCCCAGAAACTCGCTGCCGACAAGAATCGTTGCCGCGCCGAACACAAAAATCCAGCCGTAATGACCGCAGTTGATGCTCAGAGAAGAAACTA